CCATTCGAGCACAATCGTAGATAACACCCAGGGGTCCCCCAATTCTCTGAAACTCCGATTTACGTTAACGGCATCTAAAGCTTCTCGGACTTTAACGTTGCGGAAGAATTACTTCCACAAGGCTTTCCCTGCTGGCACCGTCTGTGGCGAGCTCGCATGCGGCGCTTTGTTGCGTCATGGGCTGATGTGTTCCAGAATCCTCGAAAACCCGACCCTAACGTCTTCGGACCAAGGCCACATGTCGCCACGAGTACAGGAAACCAGGGCTCCCAATAGAGGCGTCATTTTTGCAACCCTTTCAGTAACCCTTAGTGTAGCGTTGGTCCATAACAAGGATTTCCTAGTAATTGCTATAGAACGCTACAGATTTACGTATTGTGGAAACTTTAGGATACCATAGTAAGGAGACACTAGTATTTGCTGAAGATACTATGGTAACCGAAGAATCTCTTCAGGAGCATTAACTTAAGCTACCACAACAAGTTTTTGCTATAGATTCCATAGATCCGTATCATGGTAACTTAAACCCTATTTACCCTCAACCCTAAACCCTAATCCCTAAACCCTAAACCCTAAGACTAAGTTCCCGTACAAGAACCCCAGGAGATGGACCGGGGCGGCAGACCTCGAGTTCCGGCCGCTGCACCGGGTAGACCTCCGGATTCTTAGGGCTATTTGGGTTTAGGGTTTAGGGTTTAGGGTTTGGAGTCTAGGGTTTTTTTTTTTTAGGGTTTAGGGTTTGGAGTCTAGGGTTTAGGGTTTGGAGTTTAGGGTTTTGGGTTTGGAGTCTAGGGTTTAGGGTTTACCGGGGCTCACAGGGTTCGGGTTTGGGGTCTCCGGATTCTCAGAGCTTACAAAGGGCTCTTTAGGATGACTCTGGCATCCAAGCCCCATGCTTCGACATGGGCATCCCATTTGACTTGCAAGTATCGGTATCTTTGGCAGGAGGCTGCTATTCTCAGAGAAACCTGCCACAAACACTGCCGCGGCCCTGACATCTTGCGTTCTCTACACGCCAGTAGCATTTCGTGTCACAGGCATCGGCCGGTCCGGCGGCATGTGGAATGCAGGTTCCCGTCGCAGTGGCAGAAGATCGACATCGCATCGCGAAGGAAAACAACGCACTGCACCAACCCCTGTCTGCACAGCTTGTTTTGCTGAATCGCTGACCTTCCCATTGTCATCAAACATAAAGCTTCACAACCCTCCGGCTTCAGGTCGAGGGCTGCTTCTTTGAGTTGAAGAGCTTTGGGATTCAGCGCACGGTCTCCGACCTCGTCGTTGGAGCCCACGGCCATAACAACGTTGGCCTCCTGACCAAGATGGCCCACTCAAGACTCGCCCAAACTCCCAGAGAGACCTGAACTCCCTCAAGGGGCTGACGTGGAGCCTCCCCACACAAAGGCCCCCTCTTCTCGGAACCCAACTCCAAGATCTCTCCTCGGGGATCTGGCGGCACGTCGG